GATAGTTGATCAGGTGGGTTAAAGTGTGGCCTCAGAGTAACATGCAATTTGGGGAAGAGGGCCTGGAGCGAGGGCTAGCCTGACACTGCATGCTGCAATGGTCCAGTCCCACGGCCCCACGCCGGCTCTCTAACACCCCCAGGACTGGGCACGTGGAAGGGAGGCACTAGCATCCCCATTCCATCCATAGCCAAATCATCCCCCAAATAAGCCCATTGGGAGCTGCCTGGTCCTCTCCTCCTCATGGCATACCCTGGCAAGCTGGGAGAGCACAGTACCCGTCCTCAATAGCCGCTTGCCATTGACTGTGATCCTTCCTTTAACAGCAGTGTGTGTTTAACCGGTCTGTTCCTCCAGCAGCTGCAGAGTGCTGCAAAGAGGACCGCAAAGAGGCTCTTTCTACAGCATGCTCCCGGTTTCTGAAGATCTCAGAGATGTTCTTAGCAGAACAGAGGGTCTTCCTATGCGAGGTGATCTGGAGCAAGAGAAATGTCTTCCCGGTTTGTGATGCAGCCCTACAATCCTCTCCAAGGGATGGCTGAAAGGAATTCAAGATATGGACAGAAGAAATCAAGGCAGGGAATGAGAAATGAATGCACCTTGTGGCCATAGGACAGGCTTGCAGAAACAGGCTAGTCGTGACCTTGTTTGCATGCATGGCTTGTGTCTAGAAACAGCATGGGGCCTGCTTGCACAGGGAATGTCCTGCAGCAAATGAACTAGGACTCTGCCAGTGCTACCGGGCTAGTGGGGATCAGGGGTGAGCTGTGCTGGCCACAGCACTTGTCGGTAAAACCTAGGGAGTGGTGAAGCCAGCTTTGCTTATGTTGAGCTCGGTGCGCAGAGGAGAACTGGGAAGCTCTGTCTCAGGTGTCACAGTCCTGCTCGGTGATGTTCCAGAAGCTTTTGAGACATTGTATGGGGGTATCTCCATCAACCCTTTAGAAGGATGGTGGCACCAAGGGACCACTTCTCCCCTATACCTCTCCTATCACCCCACAGAAATGTCACAGCACTAACACAGTGCCTGCAGCCACCACCTGCCGCCTCCCATCTGCTTGGAGGATCTCAGCCGAACTGTCCTCCACCTCCCCGGGGTGTGGAGCTCCTGAAAGCTGCCCTTGCCCATGCGTGGTTTCAGAGGAGGGAAGAGGCAAGCTGCCACTGCCAATTGTCCCTCTGACATTTTCAGGAGAAATGCAACTGCAGGCTTGGACTGCACTGTGTGTGTCCCAGGTGGTGCAAGCTACAAAACAGGAGCGCAGACTGAAGAGATCATTTTTATCATCCTCAAAGACTTTGAATTCCTGCCTGGGTACCTGGTGGAAGCCTCATCCCTGGAGGCATTCAAGGTCAGGCTGGATGGGGCTCTGAGCAACCTTATGTAGTTGGAGAAGTCCTTGATCACCGCAGGGGGGTTGGCCTAGATGACCTCTGAAGGTCCCTTCCAGCCCAAATGATTCTATGATTCTATGATTCTATGACTCTCATCAAGTCAGGGAGGCTTTGGACCTTGCCAGGAGAAAAGAAATATTGGAGTGTCAAGGTTCATGGTGAAATGAACTGCCCACTCTGTGCACAACTATGGATTAAACTATGGATTAAATGGCCACATACAGATTTATTTCTATACAGGAGCAGTTATAAAAATGGAGCCCTTAGATACAGCAAGCAGTAAACCCCAGTAACTGATGCTAGGTTAGCTCTGGCCCAGCATGCCCTTAGAAGAAGGCCCCATCAGCAGCCTCATCTTAGCTGGGAAGGAAATGTCCCAATTTGAGCTGCTGACAGGTTTTTTAAAAAAAGAACATTATCTTCTCTGTGATGTCTGCTGGCAGGAGATGTTAAACCACTTATTTATAACTATCTTCCCGGAATGCTTCCCTGATTGGAAGCCAAACTACAAATCCTGTTTGGTTTGTTGTCTTTAACCAAAGGATGCCGGTATTTCTGCTTCCAGCTGGCAAAAAGACTGGGAGCCAGTGCCAGGCTTTGGTAGGAATAGACTTGGCTTTCAAGGCGGGCTAACAGAGATCCAGGAAGGCAGCCTTTTATCAGGCAGAGAGCAAAGTTTTTGGAGTCAGGAAGAGCAAAGACGAGCCAGCAGATGGGTGTCACCGGCAAGACAGATTGGTGGGCTGTGTCCTGGGGAGGAACAATAGTCTCGCATCACAGGGAGGGGAGGACTGGGGGAAGAGACAGGCAGGAGATTCACGCCGACATTTCGGCAAGACAGATCGGATCACCCAGAGGAAGGGAGGAGGCTCAGATACTGCCCTGGTTCTGTGCCTGGCACAGCGGAGAGGTCCAGCCCCAGCACCGTGAGAATCACTTGATCCTATATTTAAATTTGCCTTTGATGTAATTCTGTTAGTAAACATAATATACTTTTTGTTACCATTTTATTGTGTTTGTTTTGCTTTTTATAGGGTTTCTATTCCATTCACTTAGGCCTGAGTATTACAGTGACATGAATGTTTTATGAGATACACTTCATCTAGCTTATTTAAGAAAATGACATCCAAGCAGTTTCCAAAACAAACAGCATCACGGCCGGTTAGCGTAGCACTTCCCATCAGAAAGCCCGGGGAATAGAAGGGTGACAGCAATGGCACTTGCAGCTGGAGGGGACGATGCTGGCATGGAGGGAGCACAGGGGCCCTCAGTGGTGAGGGATATGGGGCTGTGGTGGGACAGTACTGGGACGGCCGGGCTGTCGGAGCGGGATGGCTGCAGCTGCAGCAGGAAGGCACTGCCAGGGAGGAACTGGGTGCCACAGGTGCCAAAGCAGCCGGGATGCCCGCCCTGCCCAGCAGAAGGGCTGGGGATGGTGCACCCTCCCTCTGCTTCTCCAACCCAATGCTGGGTGCAAAGGGGGAGAGCTCCTGGGCTTTTCTCTCCTTGCCACTTAGTGCGGAGCCCTCGGGGATGAAAGACACTGTAGAAATGTCATGGGTGGCTTGGGGTGCAGATACTGTGGGGGAGGATGGGAGAGAGCTGGTTTCCTCACCATCGGCTTGCGGGGGAGTTGCTACCTCTTGCCCGGTGCTGCCTGCTGGTGTGGATGTGCTTGTGGACTGAATGCGCTGCTGACTGAGCTAAATGTCTCCGAGCTCCTTTCCTCACCGCAGCCGTAGGCAGGGGGAGCGACTGCACTGCTGTTGAGCCAGCAAGATTGGTAAGGGACAGGCAGGACACGCACCAATGCCACCCACGCTGCAGGACAAAGTGCCCTGGCCTTCCCTTCTCCGTCCTGCCGTCCCCATGGATATTCCAGGTGGGGCAAATCCTGTGCCTTGTGCTCAGCCCTGCTCCTACACAGGCAGGGGAAAACTGAACTCGGCACAGTGGCTCAAAGCAATACTCAAGACATCACCTTGGTGGTGCTGGGGCCTTGGCCTGGCTGCATGCACCTGAAATGTGCTGGGGGCTGCTCCGGGAGGACAGCCGGAGGGTCAGAGGGAGGCCCAGGAAAGACGGTGTGCATCCCATCCTGGGAGCAGGGCTGCTGGCAGGATCAGTGCTGCCCATGGGCTGGGGATGAGAACTCACCAGGCACAGGATGCCCTTCCTTGTAGCAGGACAATGTGTCCATTGGTCTGGGTATCAGGGAGCAGGGACAGATGGCTTGGATGCCACCATCTTGTTCTGCTGCTGGGAAGGGGACAACCACTGGTATGGGTCCTTGACTCTGGTGGCCAGGAGGGAGAAAAAGCCTCTCTCCAAGGCACTGGAGGTCTTTCCTTGGAAGAGTGTGTGTTGGGTCTTATCTCAATGGCTTTGTGGGATGGCACCTGGCCTACACGGTTCTCTGGGACAGCAGAATCACCCTGCTGTTTCAAAAAGCCCCTTCTGCTGTTCTCCGATGGTGCTGAGGATGCTCAGCTGCATCTGTTCACCAGCGGCAGGGAGGTACTTGAGGACTGACTGTCTCCTGACTCACCTCCACAGGTGGCAGAGTGGCCCCTGGTGCATTCCATAGGAAACAGCCTGCACCTGAACTGGCCTGAACCAACATTGCTGCTGCTCTGGTGCACCAGCGCAAGGATGTACCATGAGCTGAACTTCCCCGGGCTGTGCTCCTCCCCATCAGTGTGGCTTACCTGAGAGGTAGGGGCTTCTCTGCCTAAATTCACCTGTGAGCAGTGAGATACTACTGAGGGCTGCTGAGTAGCTAAAGGAAGATGAATAGGGGGAGCTGGAAGAAGGGACTGGGACAGAGAGGAGACGCCAAGAAGGATAAGTGGATTGGGCCAAGAGAAAGTAATAAACCACCCATCTGAACATCTATGGCTTCCAGTCCTGATGCTGAATGCATGCGGCCTCACAGCTACTGTCTCCTCCAAGGCATTATAAAGCTCCTGTCCTGACTTCCTGACTGACTCTGAGAAAAATTATTTCTCTGGTAGGAACCACCCCACCCTCTAACATGAATTGCCCCAAGAGTGCAGGATGGCAGACAGACAAGACCTTTCTTACCTGTTCTTGTCTGGGGAGAGACATAGAGGAAACCAGCAGCTGGGTTTGGTGAAGACAAAGAGAAAGAAGCCCTACAAGATGCTGCCACTCTGTTCCACCCCTGCAATGGCTCCACGGACCACAGTAGTGGTGGGTTGGTCCCCCGTAGGCATTGGGCTACAAGCTGGCCCACACCATGCTGCTCCCTCAACAGACCAGCTCACCTGCATCCACAACCCGGAGAGTACCACCTAGCACAAAGCCCCACGTGCTGAAGAGCAGCTTGGCTGACTGACTGACACTGGAGGCCTCCACATGCTTGAGCCCAGGCCACCAGGAGCATCCACCATGCTAGGGCAGTCCATCGCAGAAGAGGAGGAGGGGGCTGGACCACAGCAGCACCTCCCTGCAGAGTGGAGCGTGGAATGACAGTGGCATGCAGATCGTGGGAATGGCCAGAAGTGGAGGAGGAGAGATGGAAGCATAGAGTGACTTAGTCGGATGGGGGGACATGAGACGCACGATGTTAGAGGCACAACTTGTTATGATCCTTTTTTCCTCCTTTCATCATTAGAGACAAGTAAAATGAAACTAAAGTATACAGAATTAAATTAAAATCACAGGGTTTTTTTACATTATAAAAAAAAAGATCTAATAGTAATAATAAATATCAAATGAACAAAAATAAACAAAACAGGAAAGAAGAAAGCCCTGGAGAATTTCTGCCTGGATGGTGCTCACTGATGGAAGGTTTTTGTGACCGGTTTTATTGTTTGGGGATCATTCCCTTGATAGCTGACTCCCGGTTTACGTATGTGGCCCAGTAGACTAAGTTGAAAATGGCAAAGAGGACTGGAAAGACGATGCGGGACATCTTGTCTACCTTGCTCACACTGTTGTATGTCTTCTTACTTTCTGGGAGCTTCTCTTCTATGCGGGGCATCTTGGGGGGTATGTTGGTGGCAGCAGCAGTGGCAGCAGCACTCTTGGAGATGGTGGGCAGGCCAGGGTCCTTGGCAATGTTGAGGGCATATGTGGTGCCAACAATGTTGTAGGTGTTGTTGGTTTTCTTTGCTAGTGCCACCGGCTCTTTTTTCTAGGGAAGGTGGAAGAAAAAAACAGAGATGAAGTGACTGTAGAATTGCATAGGCAACATTTTGTCCTCTGAGTTTACCTGCTTGTCCAGATGAGAAGATGGAAAAGGGTGTGAGGAGCAAAAGACCAAGAAGAAGGCATTGTGGAAGGGAAGGAAGATGTAGTGACAAGGTGGTCAGAACCCATGACATCTGCCACTTGAGGGCTGCTGGAGCGTAAGGACATGCTGGACTAGGGTGGACCAGCTACTCTGTGTAAGCCTGGCATGCAGCATGTAACACAAAGAGGTCCTGGCCTGGCACCTAGGTCCTCCTGCAAGTCAAATAACTGAAACCACATAGCTGGTTTATAGCCTCCTTGCAGCCCCTCAGATCAGAGTAGTGGTATAAAAAGGTGTGTGCAGCTGCACTCGAGTAGTAGCTGCCCCAGATGGGTGACTCCTTGATTGGCTGAGGTCTATGTTGCGTGCTGCCAGGTCAGTGTTTTCTGTTGGGTGTAAGGTTCAGCCATGGAGAGATGATGCACGAATGTAGTATTTAGAAAAGAATGACAACCCATGCGGTCATCCTGGGGGAAGAACTTGATTTTCTGCTTTAGTGGCCTGCTTCCTGAATGAGGTGAGAGGAGGAGACATCAGAGAGGATTATAGTTCTATCCTTTTTTTTTGTAGCACAAAGCCAGTGGCTTTAAAAATGCGGGTGACAGCATCGAAATATTTTGCACCTTATTACAAGGCCATATCATACACTGCCTCAGTGCCCCGAATACCTCACAGGAATACCTCACAATTTAATATCATGATGTCCAAAATACCTCTGGGACCCTTCAGAGCATCTCATGACCTACCCAGGTAAGTTACAGAACAGATGGAAGGCATTTGCACTAGATCTGGATTTCAGGATTGCTCAACATGGCACTATAGGGCAGAGGGAAGACTTTCGTCTTGCCTTCATATCTAAGGGTTGCTGCAAATCAAGGGAGATAAATGCACCCCTCCCACAAGGCTCCAGGGACAGCCATGCTGCCCATGATGAAGGGAAGAGAGCTTGCATAGCAAACAGCAAAAGAGGCACTTATGATATACTGAAGGATGATAGAAGATGCTGAAGAAAGTTCGTATGTTAATGAAGACGAGTGGACAGGAAGATGGAGCTAGGAAGTCATGATAGGTGTTGCCCCGACTCTGGGGATCTTCCTATTGCTGTCAGGAACCTGAGACCACCTGCATGGTAGACCATATCATATAAAGAAATCCAGGTCTACCAGGAGAAGCTCATTGAATTAAATCTATTCATATGCAGACATTAGGCACTCTACACGTCCCAGCACTCACGTACTACATGCGATGTCCACTGTAATTACACCAAGAGCCAGCATTAGACACAGCAATGACTCATGGTGGGAATCTAATACCTAAACTCAGAACCACGTGTGACTTCGGATCTCATTTTCTGTTAAAAAGCAACAGAAACACAAGGTAAGGCTCATCCAGGCATTTCCTAGGGGTGCTTGGCATGGTCTTGCATGTACATGTGAGGGAACCACGTACAAAGTGATCGTCAGGAGAAGGGGAGAGTGTGCAGCCAGCAGGACCTGTTCATCACCAACCCTAGCCTGGGAATTGGTAGGAGGCAGCATCGCTGGGTAGCACTGGGAGCTGGAAAGGCCAGATTCACCCAGGCTGCTCTGCAGAAATACTCCAAGGGCTTTAGCTTTCATGCTGTACTTCCATTTTAAATGGGTCCACAGTCACAATGGATATTTCTGGTTACCTTAGGAAATGAATTTTCCACAGTGATATTCAGAGTGCCATTAAAAGCAGACTTCTGTGCAATCTTTAAACCTCTCTCCAATAACATCATAGCCAGGCCTGTAGTCTTGTAATAATGCCAGCAATTACAGAAATTAACTTTTTGTTAGAAGGAAGTCTAAATGTCTTCAGACTCCAGATCAGACTGAACCACTGATCAGACCATATTCATAGTCTTTTATGGGAGACGGTGTTACAATCTTTAATGATTAACTGAGCAACTGATTTCTGCAATCATGAGAGTCATGTTAACTTGTACCCCCCGCACAGCAGGTGAACTTTTCCTGCTAAAAAGCTGACAAGAAGCAAATAAAGGACTCAAGTTGTTTCACCTTCTAAAACATTTAAATATGCTTAAGTATGATTACTTATTAACACAGCTACAGGAGGTAATAAAATAATTAATAATCAGTAATGAAATGAAAAACAGATTTTTGTTCACAGAATGTAATTTGAAGTGCACTGTGATTATTTTAGTGTTAATCAGCCATGTTATTCGTTACGGGAATGAGGTGACTACAACTGACATGACATTTTCAACCTGGCTAGCTTTTCTGCCCCAGAGCTTGGAAAGTGGATCTGTCTTGCCTGGCCAAAGGCATTTGAAAACAACAGGCTGAAATGGAGAATGAATGCTGTGGGTGGTGATAGCAAGCTACTGCTCCTATTGGTATAATCCAGAGCCCCAAGCATCAACTTGGGCTTCTCTGGACCTCAGATCAGGCTGTTCAGGCAGTGCAGAGGCTTGGGAGCCTACAGTCAAGGCCTTTTTCCAGCTGCCTATGGCATCTTCTGCCCTGGTCAGAGCTGGGAGCCTGGGTAGCCTTTGGGAAGCACCCAGAGCACACACTGCCTACACCAATGCACACGTGTGTGCTCTGGATGTGCTCTACTCCTGAGATGTCAGAAGAAATGGTTCAACTTGAAGTTTACTGGGCTGTGCTTTATAAACAAATGTTTCAGGCAAGATTTTGACAGTCAAAGCAAAATGTGCTTATTGCTGTCAGCTGCAAAGTAGCCCCCAACCTTCCCCTTGCACCTTTATCTGTGAGGAGTTGCACGTCCTACTGAAAGAGAAGAGTGGACAAACAGAAGGAAACCCCACATTTGCTTTGAAAACTTGTCCTGTTTGAAACATCTATGTTGCAAAGCAACTCCTGCGTTTATGGCCCAGTTTGGGCACAGGGAGACTGAACTGCTGCACAAAGCTGTCCCTGCCCTGCTCCCCTGAGGGAAAAGCTGTGAAAGGTGGTCTAAAGATAAATATGTTCCCTGGATATTGCAGTCTGACAAGTTCTTCCACCACACATATACTGGAAAATAATAGCATTTTTATTAAATATTCTTGTCTTCAAGCCTCTCTGTTGCAGAGCTGACAGCTCTAAATTATAGGAACTGCTGGTTCTGCCTATGATCTGCTGGAGATTTAGTTCTCTGCCCCTGCTCCTTGGCTAGAAACTTGGTTGGAAGCACTATCCCTCTGACAGGCCACTCATAAGGTTACCATCACTAATATCTACAGTACTTGAGAAATGCAAGGTATCTGCCACTTGCCATTCTAGAGAAAAGTCACTTTAATGACCCCCAAGCAGCTCTAGTCTCTGACATACTTGTATCCTATAATTCAAAGCTCAGCAACTGCACTTGCTGTTCCAGCAACCATGTCACTCCTTCCTCATGTCAGCCAAAGTTCCCCTCTGCAGCGTGCCAGAGACTTGATCCTATCAGAGAATAGCAGCACAGTGTTTTACACTGAGACGCCTGTACCCTGAGCAGAGCCAAGGGCTCCGAACAATGCAATCTTGCGTTAACAAGCAGGCTGCATCAATGCCAGGTTACTGTCAGCTGCCGCTGTAACCTTTGGCATCACTCATCCCTCCCAGCTCTTCATTCAGATTATGTGGGACTGAGCCCAATGATCTTATGCTCCCAGCATCACCAAAGACTCAGAGGTTGGATGGAGTCAATAATCAGCCCAACACGGCACGCAGGTAGTGTTGAGAGAAAGAGGGTGAAATGCTGTTGAAGAATGATACACAGATTCTAGTGAAGATGCTGAGAACGTAAATCACTTGCAGTCCTATGGAGAGCTAGACGTGATTGCAAGTGCAGTAGGACAAATGACACGCGGGCTGCAGAGCATGGTCAGCAAGGGAAGGTCCCAGCAAAAACATATTTACCATAGTGAGGTGGAAAAAAAAGAGATGGGTCTGAACCACCCCATGAGTCTATAAGACTTCAAACTGGTTGAAAATGGTGGCCTGTCAAGGTTGGTTCTAGCTCCTTTCTGTTGGCAAGGGGGGGTATTGAAACAAAGATGCCACAAATGGAAAGAAACAAAGGAGAAAGAGAAATGATTCCCAAGTGACCTGGATCAGGGCACAAACTTCAGAATTGCTGAAGAGTGGGTTGGACGAAAAACTAGGCTTTGCTCCATCAGTGGAAAAGGCACCTAGTGCAAATGGCAAGCATGCCCATCATTTCCAAAGTACAAGACAGAAAACCACGATGATCAAATCAACAGAGACGTATGGAGGATGTTTTTTTGTGACTTTCTCTTAGTGAAAAGACATGTGAAAAGTACATCAAAACCCTGGACCTAACCTTCTCACCATGCACTACAGGATTATTGTCTTAAGGATGAGAAGGATAAGGATCCAGGACTATTCCTCCATCAAAAGCATGTTCTTCCTTGTTTTCCTGTGTCTGACTCCAGCTACTTGTATTGTTTTTGTTGCTTCTTGCCACCCAGGATTTCAGGGCAATGTCATACAAGAACAGATGCAGAGCTAAATCAGATTTTATGCCTAGACATGGCGTTGCAGGCAGAAGTGGGATTAACTAAGCATCTTCCAAAGATCCAAAGCATCTTCCATCCTGAGGAACAGACAATATTTTTTTGCATGGAACTCCCTGGTAAACGTCATCCTTGCCGGCTTCATGAATTTCCCAGTAGCAAAGTCACCATTATGGTTGTCTCTCTGGATCTCTCTGTAACAGCCACTCAGGAAGTGACATTGTTGCTCCAGAGATGGTTAGGATGGATGAGATGGATGGATAGGATGGGATGGAGACATCTCACTCTGTTCAGGCAGAGCCCTTCTGTCCTGAAGTGGATCCTTTTAACAAGATATTTTGAGGATGCTGGAGGTATGGAGCTTTGCTGGCTACTGAAACCACTCATCTTTCAGTCTCTTTTGCCTTTCGCTCCTCCCCAACTACTTCTATCTCCCATTTTCCTCCTGATAATGTTTTTTAAAAAATAATCTTTACTAATAAGTTTTCCACATTGGATCCAGATAACTCTCTCCTTTTTGATCTGCACCTCTATGTTGGTTGCAGTCACTCTGCCGTACAAAAAGAGAGGAAATCCTTCATCCACAATTAGCGATTACTGGTGGAAAATCTTTGGGTCCAAGAATCATTAGTCAAATCTTATCAGAGTGCACGCTAAAGGGAGATTTTGATGATATCTATGGTGGTATCTGCCTGCCTTTCCTTAGAGGAGAACCGCAGAGAACGTGCAGAGTAGCTCCCAGCTGGAACCAGACCCCAACTGTGGCTATTGCCAGAACATCATCATGATCATTTGTGATGCAGGGATCAGCAATTCACCAAGATCAGCCCGTTATTTTAGATTCTACCTGAAAAAAAAAGCTCTGTTCCCATCTAAACTGATGGGCTGGATGAAGGGGAGAAAGGGAGAATGGAACCAGCCCTGAGAGAGTGAACACACTGGGAGTGCCTGTCAGCAACCAGCGGCTTTAGCAGAGTAGTGATTTCTTTCAAATGGGGTGGGAAGCATTGCTGCTGCCTACATTTGAGGCGAGGGAAGGGCTGATGCTTATTGATTATTTTTTTTTTTAATGTTCATACAAGGAAACAATCAAACCTGGAGTGAGGATCTTTGCCATCACATCAATAAAGAGCATTCTTTTTGGCTGAGGGGAAGGCTCTCCAGAGATCAGGGCTCAGCCCGAGCTAGTTTTTCTGCTGGTACAAACACTTTAAAATGCCAATAGTTATTCTTCTGCCTCCTCTTTCTTTTGTGGTTTCAACCACCTGGCTTGTCAATTATTTCAAGAAGAGCTAATTAAAGGCTGAAACAGAGCCAATGAGGCACCTTCCTTGTATAGCAAATTCACTGCTTGGAAATATTCAATGGAATAAAGATGAAAAGCAAATATGGTGACATACCATACTCTCAAGCTCCCTGAAAGCCCACTGCTCTTCAGGGAGCTCTCTGAGCTGCAGAGACCAGGAATGGGTTAGCCTTCTAAGGTAAAGATCAGGGTTGGCCTGAAAAAGCACCCACAAATTTGGAGTCCTTCCTGATTCTCTAGCCTGATACCAATTGCAGCAAACTCACAAAGAGCACTCCCTCTGAAACATTCCTGGTCCTGCTTTGTTTTCTTGTTTCATTAGCACATGTGCAAACATTCTGCACGCTCTTACCCTACTGTTTCAGCACTGCTGGTCTTGCAATGCTGGGTCAATGAATAAATAAAGGAGCGTGTTTCTTCTATGACAAACTGAAGCTTTTGAGCCTTTGATGCTTTTTTGGCTGTGCCCAGTTCACACAATTGCCCAAGGCTGTGTGAATCCTGACTTTGTGCTGATTTACCCATCCCTGAAAGGGACATGGTTGCTTTGAGGACCTGTTCTGATGCTTTGCTTATGCCAATGACCCAGGAAAAGCTTCTCTCATCTCTAGAGACCAGATTAGCGTTATTGTTCACGATGGAAGTGGAAGACCATCAACAGGTCTCCTCTGGAGCCTTTCTGCCATGAGTCTGTTGCTCAGACCACAGCTGCAAAAGCAAACAGTTAGAGAGAGTCCAAGAAACACAAGAGAGAGGCATTCAACACCCAGTGATTGCTGTGGTTCTCTGTAAGGCCTCTGTTCTCTTGCTTTGACCTCTACACCAGAGAGATGACTGGTTGTTGTCTTCCCAAAAGTTACAGCAATTCTGCCAGGTATTTGAATACAGCTCCAAAACAATTGTAAACAACACATTAAAATGCAAAGGAGAAAAATATAAAGGCTCCTGAACTAGGAACAAGGACAAAGCTGATTTTCAAATTGATTCAATAAATACAAACAAGGAGCAGCATGCTACAGTAAGCGATTTCTCTGCGCAGCCAAGATTAAATCAGTTAGGAGGGAGGGGGCACGAGCAGGGGTAGCAGTGCTGTCGGGAAGGAATCTGCCAGAGAGACTGATCCCGAGTGAGAAGGGAAAACGTGGGTGATGCCAGGCTCTAATTTACTGCCAGTTGCCATTTCTGATTTCTTGCTTCCCACCCACCCTCTTTGCCTGAGCTTACAAAGCAGCAGCTGCCGACAGCTGCGGGCAAGAGCATGAGCAGTAGACCTCCCCATTGCTGCACCATGCTTGCCCATGCCAGGGGAGATGTACAGTCAGGGATACCAGCTGCAGAGGACACAGCGGAAAGGGACCATCTCCATTGGTGAGGCTGGCATCCCGTGGCATATTTGAGTTTGTGTGGCATGCTTGCAACATGGAGTGGGGCATTTATGGGTTGGAGGAAGAAAAGAGAGAGGAGACCACTGGCAGAGCAAGACCAAAACATGCATGCATTCACATTGCCACCAGCAAATGCTCACGCAGAAGGACAGAGGGGAAAGTGAGCAGTCATGCCTGGGTGCTTTTCTCTAGCTAAGCACAGCGACTAGACCTCCAACCCTTTCCTCCCTTGACCCTCAAGAACCGCTCCAGTCAAGACCTGAGCTAGGGACCCCAGTAAGTAGCATCCAGCCTCCCTGAGTGCTGTGGGGCTGTATGTTACCCACTCCTGGCCCTAGTGCAGCTCTCTTGTGCAGCGTTTCTTTGCTGCCCCCTCCTCCCCGGCCTTGGCCACAGGGCTGACCTTCATCTCTTGGGCCTCCAGCACCTTCTTGCCATCCCAAGCCCAGCTGCGCTTGGTGAAGTAGTTGACAGTGGCAAATTCAATCAGCGCAGAAAACACAAAGGCATAACAGACGGCTATGAACCAGTCCATGGCCGTCGCGTACGCCACTTTAGGTAACGAGTTTCTTGCGCTGATGCTTAGTGTGGTCATGGTGAGGACAGTGGTGACACCTGTGGAACACAGCAGGAGACAAGGATAGTGTGAGACCATACACTCATACCCACACTTTCTCAAACTACACAGTTGGCATTTCCTTCATGTAAATTCAGGAACCACCCTCTAGGCTATTTGGCCCACATTCCCGCTGTAATTAAGGGAGCTTTACCCAGCCCAAGTCTGTGGTACAATTCACAGAATAACAAAATGGTCCAGGTTGGAAGGGAAGTCGGCTTGTCCAACCCCTGTTTGAATCAGGGCCAACTTCAGGTTGCTCAGAACCTTCTCTGGTTCAGTTTTGAGTATTTCAAATTCATATAATCAATGGCAAAAAGCTGCATTAGGATGAGATTAATCTTCCCCAAACTCCATCGACTAGATCTCTGCTCACTATAAAAAAGTTCTAGCTCATAGGTAGGCACCTGCATTCACTTCCTTGTCTGCTAGTAGCTAGACCCAGCTCCCTCATGTAGAATATGCCATGGAGAAGCCTCTGGTTGCTTTTGCAATAAAATGAAAATAATAAAATAACAGTGAAAAAGACAGCTAGATGGTTGGGAACTTCATGGAGGACCAGAAACTGGCTGCTCATCCAATGTGGTTCTCTCAACATTTTGGAAATAGTGTCTTGTGACCTGCGTGGATGGACACCTGGGATCCTGGGTCCTGCTGCCATGGCCAGGCACCTGTCAGAGGTCCAAACCGCCAGCATGAGTGTCACAATGATTTATCTTAAAAAAATGATCCGTTGCAAAATGCTTTTTAAAGCTCTTTTCATTAAAGCAAGCAACCATTGTTATCCATTTTCCTCAATAATGTGCTTTTCAATTAAAAATGCATTAAAAACATTATAAAAATATTGACTAATTTTCACTTCCCTTAAGCCATATTCCTGGTAATGGAAGAGTTTCAATAATATTGTTGACAATACTTTCTGAGGGGAAAAAAAAAGGAATAAACGATTGTAGTTGTTATTTTCTTAATAGGAAAGCAAGGCAATTTGGGAGCAGAGACATTTTTCACAAAGGTAGGTTTTAATTTTTCAGTCTGCTCACTCTGAGCTGCTACTCAAGGAAACCTGTCTAATTGCAGATCTCAGGATAACATGGGAGGGAATCAAATATCCTCAGAGAAGGGCTCGCCCCTGATGTTGGGATTGCGGAGATACTCAGAATCGATGCAGATGTAAGAGCCCACCTGGGGCATGGACAGACATGGGGTCCGCGTGTGCACTCTGTGGGTTTAGTTGCAAATAATTCACACATAGATGAGTGAGGGAAGTTCATCGATGACTATATGCCTGAGCTGGTCCTATTTTTCATGTGATTTCTGTCAGAGCCCCTCCCTTTTCCATTCTGTTGGATGAAAACATCAAAAAGTGGGTGCTAAGGGGCTGTACCCCCTCTTCTTCACTGTTATCACTGTTCAACACAGCTCTTGTAGTCTGGATTGTGCAAACCAGTTTGGCCATACTAACTGCCCAGGTCCCTGCAGCTGCAGTCCACCCTGGGGGTTGCTGTAGTATTTGCCCCACTGGGGAAGGGAAGGCAACCCAGTACTAACAAGGAGAAGCTGGGGTCAACTGTAAATTTTAAAGCTTGTTCATGACCTACATTTCACAATCCCCAGTGAACACAAAAACTGTAATGATTCCCTTCTAGTTCATTTAGGAGGGTGCAGAACCAGCTGGGACAGTCCCTGTGTCCTGTTCCAGTCCACAGCACAGGAACAAGGTCCAGGCCTGCGGAGAGGGTCCAGAAACGAGGACATCAGCCTTGTTGGGTTTATGACAGTATTTTTATCATGACTCTTGCTACAGAGAAAATGCTTCATGATCTTTGAAACCACACCACTTTCTGTCTTACTCAAATCCACAAGCAGGTGGTACCATATATCCCCACTGTGCTTGGTGACTTTTGTCCAATATACTCTCTGTTAAGCAGTATCTGCTGGGCAATGTTATTTCCAGGAAATACAGTCCTGCAGCATCACACCTCGTCTGTGAGCGTGTGTGTGCAGATCCTGAACTAAAGGTCTCGGCAGGAAAGCATAAAGCAATTCTGTTATTAAATGTTTGTAAAAGCTATTAATATATATGCAATGCCAGCCTGACACTTCGCCTCGGAGAGAAGATCTGAAACCAGCTGAAGAAAATAATAATATATTTACCATGCAGTTATACTGCCTCAGCCCAGGAACTTGTTATGTCGAGCTCTGACCAGGGGCACATTAACAATTTCAAAGGTAGAGCTTTAAATGCCTCCCCACGTACCTATCTTCTCCTCAACTTGAAAGCCAATATAGATAAGCAGACACAGCCAAATGCATATAATTAGATGATCAATACGTTGATTACTGTTAATATTTATGGCTTGGCTTGTAGCAGAAACATGGACAGGAGTATTTTTGCTGTGATTCAGTGGAAGCAGGGGCACTGGGAAGACACTGAGAGCTATTCTGGGAAATGGCCAGCAGCTTCACTGATGCCGGTCAAGGCCTGGAAAAGACCAGCTCTGATACTCAGTCTATCTCCTATCATTTTTGGTGCCTTTCTCCCCCAACCGGAGAGGATGCCCCCATGCTCCCAGACTCACCAAAAACTGTTCGGGCAGGAACAGACTCCCTGTTAAGCCAGAAGGAGACCTGGGACAGGATGACCGTCATAATGCAGGGTAGGTAGGTCTGGATCACAAAGTAACCGATCTTCCTCTTGAGGTGGAAGTGTGTGGTCATGACGACATACTCTCCTGCAGAGACAGCTGGTTAGAGATGCTGAGCCGATGGTGCTTTCCAGGGTGGGGCCAGCTGACCACCAATCCATCTCTAAACCACTAAAGATCTATCCGGAAGAAACTTTCAAGTTCTTAGATGAAATTGCAGTGTGTGTGTCATATTGTTACTGGCTGGCATGCCCTGGTATCTTACAGTACTGCAGGCCACCCAAACAGCCGTGTGAAGGAGGGATGTGTGCTGCAGCACACTGTCAGCACTGATTTTGCATGTCCTGCACATGCACACACAACTGCTGTACCATGCCAGGTACGTGCTCTGGTGTAGCCTGGATGACTTCCACATAGCATTTGCCCTTTCAAATGCTCCTTCTCCTCCTTCTCTGGAGAATTCTTTAATTCACCAAAAAATGGTTGTGGGACAAAAGGAAATCAATGCCAGCAAACCACCAGGCAATAGGCTTTCCCTATTTCACCCCAGGCACAAGACACCTCTGGGGGGTCTCTCCTGACCCAGCTTCCATCCCTTTTCTGCTCCAGTCCAGGGAGCCATGTTGTGGGTAAGACCCCTTAAGCCTAGAGAGACCCTAACAGTGCTTCAGCAGGCTTTCAGGACAAAGGATTTTATTTTCTCTGACAATCCTGAAAATATTTCACCTTTCCTCACTGTATCCATCTCAAAAATCAGGGCAAGTTCTGTTGTTAAAGGTCTGGGCTGCATACCAAAGAAGCAGCTGTCCCTATTTTCGCTCAGTGCCCTGTTCGTCCACTCAAAGCTTTGGGTATTTTGTCGGATTATTGTGCCTTTTTGTTGTGAGCATGCCTCTGCTAAATCATTACACATAGGAGACTTTAGCAGCTTTCTTGCCGCTTCAGGTTATTCATCTGTACATTTTACTAGAACTTAAGTAGAGAGATGGGCCAGATATTATGACATTTACTTCCCTGGACTCCCCACATTTCCCCAAGGGAGGTGATATGAGTTGTTACAGACAGATACTATTAAAATCAAGTGCACCAGAGAGGAAATATCCTCAAATGAGAGAACTACTGGTGCATATAGAAGAAAAAAAAGGAAAAGAAAAGAAAAAACAAAATATGAGAGATACACATGAGATAACAGAAGCTATCAGTACCTGGATTCAGAGGGGAAGGGAAGAGCAGCAGATGGGAGAGAAAGATGATTAATATTGGTCATTAATCAGAGGAAACATTTGTTTGGGATAATATTCTATTAGCTATTATAATATTTGTGTAAGCAGATGCAGTGAAAATCACACTGAACATTATGTTGCATTTGCCTCACCTGCCTGCAATGCTCTCCTGAGGGACTGGAAAGGGATCCGAGACAAATGAACCCACAGTACCAAGAACCAGCTAGGCAAGATGGGGCAAGTTTTCCACAGAACAGATCACTTTTAGATGCTTGAAATCGATTTTCTAGAGGGCATGGGTGACAAGGCTCTTTCAGTGGAAACCACTAAAAGCTAAATGCTTTACTGCCTCTTGGTGATTGCTCGAGATGTCCCCAGCCATATTATCCAACAGCACGTGGCTTCGGAAGTACTGTGGTGCTCACTGCCCATAGGTGCTCCCTCTATAATTATGCCAAACCACAGCATTCAAAGCCCATGCGTCTACCTCATCTGACAGTGTGCTCAGTCCATGCATTGCATCATGGTCCCACAAGTACCTGTGCTGGATCGAACCATCTCTGTCCCAACAACATGGCCCAGCAGGTCATACTGGTTCAGGCGAGATCCACCCTTTGCTACTTCTACTGATTTATCCTTCCCCAGTGTCCAGGTGTAGATCACCTCTGTCTTTGTGTAGGCATCTGTGGAGGAGAAAGAAGAATGAGGTTTGGGCTCCTGCCTCACCTAAAAGATATCAAAATTAGCCTGTAGCCAAATTAATCCCTGCTGTGCATTCCTCAGAGCCACATGGCTGAGCACAGCCAAGCACAGCCAGAGACCAGGGCAGTTCAACAACTGTTAAATCAAACGAGCAAAAGGAAGCTGGGGTTTTTGGAAGGGAGCTGGAAGAGGGGGAAGAGCACTGTCATTGAGACATGCTGTCCCCTTGACATACTGACTCTGCAAGGGCTGGCTCCAAGCAGAGACAAGATAGGAAGGTGTCCAGGCCAGCAGGCTGCTGGGGCAGCGGGATGGCCACAGCCCTGCCATGCCGAGGACCGAGAAAGTCATGCTGGCAGCAGCTGGCAAGGAAGGCTAAACGCAAATGGGGTTGAATTTTAGGTTAAGGAGAAAAAGTTAAAAATCTTTACCCTCACTCAGAAGCAATCCTCTCCAAGCCTCTCAGCTTTGGATGCAGTATGCCCTCCCACCAAGATGCTTTTTCCCCTGCTTGACCTTGTGTTTGCCAGCCTCCAGGTCAATCTGCCAGGCAGCAAGGGAGGGCAGTGCTGAGAAAAGCCTGCTCACACATTGCAAGGGACACAACAGGCAAGTGCTACTGGACTCCTGCATGCAGCAGCACTGGGCTCAGGGCCAGGGCATCCTTCCAGGAGCTTGGAAGTTCCCCTCTCTATCCCACCTGCCCAGCTCCCCATATGCAGATACCTCTCTCTAACACACACAATCACCATCACCTTCACAAGCCTTTGTGACCAAACCCCTGCTTGTCCTCATAGCCACTCTCTCTCCCAACAGCACCTGCACGCTCTTGGGTTTGCCAATCCTATAGTAACCAGAAATTGAGTCTCTCCAGACTACACTAGGAGCTACTTCTCCCCATAATGCCCAAGTTTCCTGTCCATAGCGACTCTGCATCAGTTTTTCAGGGAAGAACAAAGTCCACTAAACCAAGTTTTTAATTCATTTTTACCACCTGTTTCTCCTATTAAAACATTAAGGAATTCTTTGGCTGGGGTCAGGTCAAGCAATGGGTCAGGTCTGCTACAGAAATGTCTCAGCTCCTGCTTTGTAGAAGATTGTGTCCTGAGACAACCAGATTTCTCTGTTCTTTTTGTAACAACCACTGTTATCCCTGCCCTGTAGGTTTTGATAAACTTGTTAAATACTAAGCAGGCACTGTGCAAAGTGGAAGGAGTGGTTTTGATAATCAGCCAATGTTTCTCAGCACACCAGTGTCCTGCCTAAGCACTTCTGTTGCAGGCTGGCACCTCTCATCTGATGTGCAACACTCAGCTTTTCCAATCCCTCCTTCCAGCTCTCAACATGCTTCTGGAGACCTCCATTCTCCTTCAGGCTTAGCTTCACACAGCTCTGCCAATGCTCTTCCACATTGATGGGCAGCACCTTCTGCTCCAGCAGTCACGGTTCACCCACTGCCACTCTCAGTCTACAAAGGAAACTTGCCCCCAGTTTCATGGCTGTCATCCCTGAAAACACAGTTGGCTACATATCTGGTTGCCTGGGACAGAAGCATATCTGATGTCACATAGGCATGGCATGGATCCTGGGAACATATGTAATGCCATGAAGTTGTTCTGGTTCTGCTCAATGCCTCACTTGCAATGCAGTCTAGTCCAATCCAAACGAGGACATTTGCTCTTTGACATTCAGTGGAGCTGATAACTTCAGCAACATCTTCTGCTAGCCTAGTCACAGACAGCTGCTGTACAAATGTCCTATGACTGGCTTAGCAACAGTTGTTCTGTGCTGCATACATCCATCTTCTAGGGAGCATGGTGATAGGTAAAGCCACCAGCTTCACTGCACTTGGTCCAAGGAATGATGCAGGTGGGCAGCTGAAACTATCTGAAATGCCTGATGCCCTTACTTCTCCTGCAAGCTCTCTGCCTTCCCTCTTTGGGTGGCTGCCATTGTGGCACAAGGACTGAAGGCCACTGATGAGCCATTCAGGTTGTGGGGATCACTGGAAGGTGGTCACTGAGGCAAATTTGGCTATCCTTTGAATAGCACATGTCTGGCCCTGGCATTGTCCTTCTACTTACAAAGCTGACCCACTCTAAGCTTCTTTCAAATGAGCATCTTCCGGCAGTTGACAGCTTTTTGGTGCAAACACTAGTTTAATCCTACTCCAACACAGGAGAGGTAAACTCAGATGCTATGCAGATGGGTGCTTTAGAAAGAGCCATACTAATGTTAATCAGCAGCAGCTCTCCGAGCTGCTTGTGTCAAAACTCTCATCTTTCAGAGGCCAAATCAGTAAAAATACCCAGAAGAACCCCAAAGGGTGTTCCAGCAGAAATATGCACATTAATCTCTTTTCCTCACCAAGAAACATTAAAAGCAATTAGATGTGGAGTAATCTGCCTTCCTGCAAGTCTTGTAATAATCCCAGAGTTTAGGCCTGAGGTATGAGATTTTATATTCCTCCTCACAAGGTCAATTAACATTAATAATTCATCCTTCTCTGAGGCTTGTTATTTTACTGGCCTTAGTGATGTCTGGTGGCAACGAGTTCTACATTTAATTAGGTGCTGCCTGAGAAATAACTTTATTTTAGTAGTTTTGAATAATCCAGTTTCATGGATGCATTTTGTCATGAGGCAGAGGAGCAGATACACATGATAAACATGATTTCTTCTGGTGTCAATCAAACTTTTTAACTTTCTCCTTAGTTAACTCCCAAATGGCTACAGGAAGGAAGTATCAGTTTCGAAAGGTTGTGGTTTCTCTGTTTTCTTAGAGTCCAAAAGGGAGATTACTTGTGGGGACTCATTCTTTAGTTGATGGTGGGTAACTCTTCCATCTAACACCAACAGAGACTGAGATTAATGCTTAGTTTGTTGGACCTGAAGAAGACTCCAGGCAATGCAGGACTAGGAAATTTATTTCCACATTATGGTAAACCAGTGGCTTGGAATTTGGTTCCCAGTCACTTTAGGAAAAAAAAAAAAAAACAACACCAAATAAATTTAACTTGCTTACGGGAGAGAAGAGGGAACTTGTTCCTAGGCAGGGTATGGGAAGCTCACACAGATGAGCAGCTGCAAGCCTGAGAGGCTGGGAGCAGCTTTCAACTCACCAGCAGCCTGCAAATCTTCCCTAAACTGGGACCCTTGGGTGTTGGGACTAAGATTCCCAGAGTCTCCAAGCCTTTTACTTGAGAGCAGCTTGCCTGACAGACTGAAGAGGAGCAAGGGGTTTGTAAGCTCCATTGGAGCATGGAGCCAGAGCAACCAGAGATTGGCAGGAGTGATGTAGGGAAGCTGGACAGGACACCTAGCAGCAGACACCACTGCTATTTTCCCAAATCTGTCCCCCCAGGATCACCTTGTGATGAAGGAAAAGCATCTCTGAGTTTTCCACCAATGCTGGCCCTCCTGAGGCAGCACTGAAGACGCAGCACCACTTACCGAAGGCAGGGAAGGCAATGGGAAGTTGCTCTTCCCAGTTCCCTAAAAAGCTTACAGCAAAACCGTAGGTGTCTAACCCATCCTGTTAGCCTGAACTGACCACAGCTTTTCTTGCTGTCCATTTCTCATGATGGTAGGAATTGCACGTATGAGATAACAGAAACAAATTTTTGGTCACATTATCATCAGCAATAATTAATAACACTGTTACTAAAAAAACTGGAAAACACTACCCATACAGAGGACTGTTCTTTAGCTCCATATCCACCTCCCTGCAGAGGCTGATCAGGGTACTTACAGCTCCCAAATTTCAGCGGGCAAGCATGCACATCCATTGGGAAGTCCTCCAGGTGCATGGGGCACTCTGCATGAATCGTTAGCCTACAAGATGAAACACAGGGCATGATCAGAAACATGCATCTGCAAAGGCTCCCACCTGGCCCTTCTGCCGCTATGTCTTTGCTCTGCATCCATCAAAAGCGACAAAGGCTTCAATGTGGTCACTAACCTCTGGGTCTCTGGGCAGAAGGCCATCAGCTGCGGAGAGAACAGCAGGCACACAGATCTGGCAACCTTTCCCATTGTATAAACTCAACCCTATTGACCGAGTTCATCTTTATCCACTCAGCTCAATCAGAAAATCTGCCAAAGCCCAGAACTTCTGTTTGCTTATGCACTGTGCATAAAGAGCTCATTAATGCCCAGGGCCAGGGGACATCTCATGGACCATGGCTGGAAAGCAGAGGGAAAGGGCTTCGAGGGAACATGGCCTGGTCTTCCCTGGAAGGAACCGAGGGCTGGCAGATTGTTCAGTCAGGAAGCCACAGTGCTACTGGGCTTGCTGAACAAAGTCAGTCAGAGCCATGAAGACGCAAGTGTCACAGCAGGGTAAAACACATGCCTGTGAACGTGGGGCACCTCATCCCACCTTCCCCAGCTCTTCCCTCCCTGGTGGCACTGCAGAGGATGCTGAGGGCAGACACCGAACTGTGTGTCCTGGGGCTCTTTGGGGGGGTACACGACAACTTGTGTGCTTTATGCATCCACCAAATCCCAGTAGCATAGCTCGTCAGGAAGCGGTTTTGTGAGGCAGGCACAACCATAAAAGCTGTATGCTGCAGAACATGGGGCCAGGCATAAAAAGATCCATTATCAAAGGCTCTAAAAAAGGTAGCTCTAAGCTCGTGTTCTTTCCTGAAGTACTGCAAAGCCTGCAGCCTAGGAGGGGGAACCAGGACAGATGGCTTCCCAGGAGATGTCCAATACAATCTTCTCTGAAGTAACCATTTGTAGAAAAAAGGACTCAGTTCTGATGGCTCAGCAAAATAACAAATAAATCATGACAGCAGCAACAGGTGGGTGCAAAGGGCAAGTGCACAGACCTAAGGCTGAAGGTGGCTTGTGGAAAACTCAGCAGTACAGAACAGCAACTCAGAAGCACATTGGAAAGCTTCTATTGAGATATTTTCCTTCAGCTGGAAAAATGTTCAGGTAAGTTATTCTTCATAGAAAATATTGAGGGTTAGTCAAATGCAAAACAAACCCTGAAAAAAAAGGGTTCAGATTTTGTTTGCTAAAAGCAAAGAAAAAAGAGAAAGGAAAGAAAAGAAAAATAAAGGTTATTTCTTTCAGGTGGACGAACCTTAAACGATTTTACAAAAAAAAAAAAAAAAAGAGGACTGTCTTTTAAACTTCGCATAAAAAAATTTGGTGGCTAAAACCAAGTACTTCACAAATCGCTCTAAAAACCTCTGTGGGGGAAACAAAGCAGAATCACGGTGTCTTGGAGGTGGCAGGGGATCTCCGCGGCTGCAGCGACGGTGGCTGCAGGCGGCAGATGGTGCCCTGACAGGCGGACACCAGTGCAAGCCAGGGATGGAGCAGCAGCAAATTCCCACACAGCTGCTCCGTGTCGGCTGCAAGAGCAGCCCAGGCTGCCCTGGAAACTCTCTGCCGGCTGTGAATTTTGCTCTGACAGGTGAGGAAATGAACCCTGCGATTTCAGACCCACATCCAGCCTCATCTGCTTCTTTTAGAGGGTTTAGGAAAGCTGGCATCCCCGTAACAGACAAGCAGAGGCATTAAATCAAGAAGCAGAGGAGCAGAGCTGGAAGCTGCCGTGACTTCAGCAGGGCAGGGTTGGGTGGCCAAAACCCTCCTGCATGACCTGGAGCCCCTGCAGCACCCACAGCAGGGGTTTAAATCCCAGTTAACCCAGCCTTTGGGAATGTCTGGGAGGTAAGGCATGTGATCCCTTTGCAGTGATCACTGGGGTCACAGTGCCGCAGAGTAGATCCTCTCATGGGGAAGTCTACATCTTTTTCTTGTATGAGCTAGCAAAGGAAAGCAGTGAGTTTCCTGCAGACCTTCTGAACGCAGCCCCACAGTGTTTCTGTGGCACCTCCCTGCTCATTAATGCAACAGCAGCACACACTCATTTCTGCTGTTTTTCAGTGCCAGGTACCACTGTCCTGTCTCCACTGCACCCATCCGCCCCGCTGTGCCCCAGAAGCCATCCCACACAGGGAAAAAAACCTGTAAAAGCAAATCCTGCAATCAGGACAGGTTCAGTCCTGATAAACAGCTCTTAGCTATTCAGCATCAGCAGGACATGGTCCCCATGCACGCCATGGGGACTACTTGCACTGAAGCCTTGAGGGGCTGGCTGTTGAGTCACCATTAGCCCTTGGGTCTCAAGGGCTCACAGCCCAGTCTTGGCTGAGACAATGCTCCATACTCTGGCCAGGTTAATCACATTTATTGGGTTTATTGGGTTTATGAACGGTGACTCCACCTCCAGTAGTGGAGGCCAGTGGATATTTATAGAGAAGTACGAAACCTGGGTGAATTCAGAGCAAACTACACCTTGCTGTTGTCTCCCAGCAGCCGGTCACTTACAGCTTCTATGATTCAGAGGCTATATCCAGGTGATCAAGTGCACCAGAGACCAAGGACCTTTTCTACTCTGAGTCTGCCAGTCCTTTCTGAATCCACATACATGGATAGTGAGCACTATGTCCTGCAGTAATTCTACCGACAAAGAGGTGATGATGACTGTCCTGCTTGCATTATGTCTGGCCCCAGCTTGGCTTTCTCAGCCAATCCAAGAACCACTGTGTGGCCAATGTAACTTCCTTGGAAACAAATCAGTCTTTTTGACTTGCTGATCTCTTCTTCATCTCTGGACTGAATGTACCTGTTTTACATGAGAGAGAAGACCTAATTTTTACAACTTCAACAAAGACTCATTGAAGTCAATGGAAAGAAAGACTGACCACTATTTTGACAAGCCTACAAGCACGTTGTTGGAATGATTTTCTTCTGGACACTCAAAGGCCACCACAAACAAATTGCTCATTTGCTCTCTTTTGTAATCTGGATGAAGATTAGGATTTCAAGAAGCAGGTATGAAAACCTGGCAGCAAGGTGTGGACTCAACAGCCTTGCTCCTCCTGTTCTGTTTCTTTTGTGATGCTTTCTTCTCTCAGCTCAAAATTCACTTGGGGAGCTTCATGGTTGGGAAGCTTGTCAAGCATGTCCTCATGGATCTTACCATTCAGTTCTTTCTGTGTCCTTTCCAACTGCAATGGACTTTTTGCTTTTAATATTTACCACTGTCACTTGTATAAAGGAAAAGTTGATGCCTTTCTCCTGCCTCCCTTAGCAGGCCACACAAGACTTTTCTTTTTTACTTCCCTATTCCTTCATTTACTTCACTAATTACTTCATTATTTCAAAAAGCTCTTAGCTGGGTGTTCCCAAAGTTGGCTTTTCCAAAGGACCTCTCCTCTGATCAGCGCTTTCCTTCTGATGTACCCTGAACTCCCCCAAAAACACACGAAGGGCTTTTTCATCCCCTGTACTGTTTGCAAGTCTTGACTGTGATCAACAGCCACCATGAATAAGGCTGAACAACTCAAAGGACAGGATTGCGGGTCTGGTGGTTGAGTGCCATTTAGAGCAGCCAGAAAGAGCCTCAGAGGGGGCCAGGATGGCAGCAGACACCAGCTGGGCACAAGGTGGCCTTGGCCATACCCTCCTGCCCTCTCCAGGCCATGGCCAACAAAGAGTAAGTGTTGTCAAGGGAAGGAGACAACTTTATATGGATGCAGGATGACTCCATAGGTGTGTGGGAATGCAGCAGTCACATTTTAAATCTAAAGTGTGTTTTATTAGCTGAGCCAGTAAACAACACAATAAATCCATCAACAAACCATGAAGCAAACTAATCTGCCACTTCTCCACCTACAACTGAAGGAGCTTTTAAGTCTCCTGAAATTAAATAAAAAAGAAAATGCCATATCATTCCAGTGAGATGAGTCTGGTTCAGCAACTTCAGCCTGCCAGAAATCAGCGTGGTCACAGATAACATAAGAAGGTAGTCAGCTTCCTTGCCGAAGGGGGAAGCAATACAGGTATTCCCTCTCCCAGGTGTTCTCCCTTGCCTGAATCCTCTTTGCTTTGCCCCTGCCCCTGTTGGGGTGTGCTGGCTCCCCGAGATGCTCTCCCCACTGCTGCTTGCTACTGCTCACCCATCTGCCCCCCACATCCCTTGGCCATCTTTCACTTCCCTCCTGCAGCTTCTCTTGCACACACTCATCTTTCAGAGCGCTAATTAGCAGAGGTATTTATATGATCTGTGGAATCAATCACTGCTCAGGAGAGTGCCCATATTCCCCTTCTGCTCCCCCTTGCACTGGCTTTCCCCATCATCTCCTGTTGCTGGCAAAGGGCTCCTCAGTACCATATGCTTTGCCTAATGAAACGTCAAAATGTCAAACTAAGAGGAATGTATTTCACTTCCCAGAAAATTACCATTGCCTCTGCAGTATTTCGGGGAAAAAGCCTGTTGCAGAAATTCTCATCTTTGCCCCTTAGCCTGTGCAAGAGAGCTTATGGTCAGGTAGCCACAGTGCTTCACTTCATTGCTCCGATGCCCTGTTCAGGTCCAGATATCTGAGCCCTGAAATGTCATTATAAAGCCCAAAGAGCATATGAAAAAAAGCCAAGCTGCCAGCAATCACATAATCCAGCTGTGGTATCCTTTCGCTCATCTGTCCCAGGTGCTAGCAATAACTTAAGCAGAACTGTCTTGAAATCAAACCCCAAACTCATGTTTTCTCTTCATTTTGCTGGCACAATGGCACTGAAACTGGAACATCCAGGAGAGAAACCATATTTTTCTCTTTAAAGTCATGGGAAGTCCTTTGAACTGCTCAACACAATGGCAAGAAGCGTGAATCAGGCTAAACATACCTCTCCCAGGGATGACGGTACAACAAACCACTTCAGCTTCGTTCTCATGGTTACCAGGAGCTTAGCGAAGCCTTTGATGTGTCATTAGAGCTCCTGTCGTTACCTGCGTAGTGCTTCAGGATAAGCGAGAATCTCAGTCCAATTTCTGGGATGCAAATGTAATAATCCCTTGGTGTATGTCTGGTACAAAAACATGACAGCGCCCCGCACAGCAGAACTGACTTTGTTTATGCCAGGGATATTGCTTGACTTTTGTCCTGATTTCTCCTCTAGGATATGCATTAATAACCACAGTCAGGCCAAATAGTGTTTACAGTTTAGGCTGTGTGAGAATCTAGGTTAGGTTTAATTGCTGGGGTTTGAGCTTGAAAGCCAAATTGCTTCTAGGATCCTTATGCTGGATCTGAAAGTACTGAATTCACTTTCCATCCTTCCCCAGCCCCTGGAGATTTCAGCCCATGATGGCAGAAATGCAGTGAGATAAGGTGATCTCTGAAGATTTCTCCCTTCTGGGACAGCTTCCTTACAAAAGTCTGCCTGCACAAAACCAAGCCTGGAAAACAGATAATTTCTGCCTTTGGATCCGCTCTAGAATCTGTAAGGCAGGCAAAAGCATGCTGTGCAAATCTCATCTCCTCTATTTGTCTGCTTGTGTGTTTAGAAGTCTAGCTTTGGTCTGCCTAGGACAATTTATGCTGTTGTCTAGGATCAGCCCTGATGTAGGATGCAGCCAAATAGCTGCCACTCTGTACGACCCAGAGGAGCTGGTGCTGGGATGTTCCAGCTGCTGCTCTTATAGAAAGGAGAATGATGGTTGCACCTCCATTGTATAGAAGGGTTCTGCAAGCTCCAGCCTACAGCTCTCACAAGTTGCCTAGGGATTGAAAAAAAGAGACCATAAAGACAACTCAAAGCCTTTGCTGGGAGAGACACCGTGAAGCTCTGTGATTTCAAAAAGCAGCCTGTGAAGCTCAAAGCCCTGACCATGCCATGTTAGGTACAGGACTTGTTATCTGGAGTTCAACATCCTCGGTAGGACTCCACGTCTCCTGGGTGCCTTTGTACTCAGCTTTCTCTCCAGTTCTGCCTCTGCCTCATCCAGGATTTCACTGCTCCTCCTTCCCAAGTGCTCGTGCACCGCCGCTAAGGACTTCATGTTGTCTTTAGCAATTCAGGTTCTTGAGGTAAAGTCTTTGGGCATGCAGCTGAATGTGTCAGCCTGGCAGTTAAAGAAAACATCCTTTAAGTGCATAACTTGAGCACATATTGTCTGGAAACCACTCTGACAATAACCACAAAGCCTCAACATGTCACTCTGACAGTCCCTGTGAAGAGCAGGAGAGCTCTTTAAAGCCTGGATTCACAAAGTTGAATCCCATTGGTACAGCATTAAGCTTTCATTACTTTCATATGCTTCAAGGCCAGGAAGAACCAGAACATTGTCTATGTGCCCCACACAGTTCAAGCCAGAGAGTACATCCAGAGATTGCTGCGTCAGCTGAGGTTTTGTCTGTACCTTGTGTAAATCCATGCACAATTCCCAATTTATTGTACTCAGGTCTGACACCAGAACTTTGAAGCCCTAGCTGGGCTTGAACTACTTGGATGTCGTAGGAGCTCCACAAACAGGACTGCAGAGGCAGGGCTACACAATAAAACTGTGTTCCCCATGCCCTCTAAGGCAGCCAGAGTAGCAGGGAAGAGGCAAAGGGATAAGTAATCCTGTCCCTTCCTCAGCAGCCAGAAGGAGGGAAATAGAGAACTGCAATTTTGTGCTGCGGTTGCAAAGGCCATTTTGTCACCCAGGTGCCAAGGCCTGAGTCAGTGATCAGATGTTTGCACCATGACGTTGCACCAATCTGTGAGGAGGCTGTGCTGTGACTAAAGGAAATCTCTGGATGCTCAGCTACAGCTGGTGTGTGACTCCTTGAAGCTTAGGTCAGTGATAAAGAGGCTCTCTCCAGGAGCTATAAATATTGTCACACAGGTGTAATTTTGCTGGATACATGTGTCAGAGTTGCTGTTCCACCAGAGCAACTTCATCTATAAATGTAAGCCTCGACTAAGAGAAGTTGGCTTTCACAGCAGGATAAATAGCAAGAGACATGCCTCTAATTGCACATCAGCAGAACTGATCCTTCAAGGATATTGGCTGGTACAAAGTACAGGAATAGGATGTCTCAGGAGTCAAACTGCATGGCAATGTACCAGTCTAGAGTGAGCCTGCAAGGGATCACCTGGGCAGTCCTGCCAATCCAGGGGAAATCTGGTGGAGGTCCAAACCTGCTCCCTAGTCGGCAGCACAGAGCATGCCTCTTTGGGATTTGCACTTTGCTGGATGTCAGCTGCGTGGGGCTGGGATTGGCTTCGTGGTCCTCCTCCTTCCTTTGAGAAAGACCCATGTGCATGCTCCTGGGCATGGGGGAGAACAGTGAATGTGCCACGTGGACATAAAACATGAGTCTCCTTCCAGCCCTTTCCTGGGATGGTGATACCATCATCATCATTTTACAGGGGAATTGAGGTGTGAGGGCCTCTGAGCAGCAGAGCCAGATAGGACTTGGTCTCTGAGCCTCAGCCTGATGCACAGTCCTGGACCATGCAGTCTGTGCCCTTTGCATCTTCCTTTCTGAGCCCCCACTCAAAAGTCCCTGTGTGGCCCTGAGCAGGCATTTTCTTCAGCAGCAGGGAGAAGGGCAATCATCAGATGCACCAGAACAGACATTTCATCCTGAATGTGTTGAACTGCAAATCCAGAGGAGCCCTGCTTCGCCCCTGACACACTGTCCCGTGCAGTGTGCAGTGCTTTCCAGACAGCCATCTGGCCAGCTCTAACCAGCGTCAGGCTGGTCCAATATTGCCTGGAGCCCTACCAGGATAGCTGCACACACATCTGCACAGCAGCAATCAGTGCAGGGTAAGGAAAAGCAGCTCCTGGTACTGTGCAATACAACATGTGACAAAAGGCCTCATATCCAACCCTCAACTTTTGGGTATCTCTGAGTGGGATCTTCACCTCTTACAAAGCCTTAAAGGTACATTTAAGGTGGGCAGGAGCACATGCAAAGGGAGGTCCAGACCCTCCTTCATCCCCCTCTTCTTTGGGAGACAGCTAAACTGAAGGATGTGTTGAATTTATTTAAGAAATACCATGACTCCATTTTCTTCAAGAAGCTCATTCCAAAGAACCTCGTGATGCTGCCATCCTGGCACCTGCCCAGCCCTAATCGGAAAAGTAAATCCAATACTTTCTCAATCACACAAAACTTGCTGAAGCTAATGGCTGTTTGCTGAATAAAGAAGAAGTGAAATGATATAAAAGCCCTGAAATTGAATTCTTTTTTTGCTGTCTTATGCCAGTAGCTCCTATAATACTTTACAGTCAGACAGTGATACAAATGGGGGGAGTGTTAGTCATCCACATGCAGGTCAGAGAGCTGGGAGCAGAACCAAGCCCTCAAGTCAAGTTGGGCTTCTCCCTTCATTTACCCCATCTGCCTCAGTAACGTGAGATCACTGATGTGTGGAGACCTAAACCCCCAGGGCACTAGCAGGATTAGCTCATATTTGAGAACTCTGCACGAAAGCAGAGTATTATTTATCAACGTAGGCTGTAAAACTTGCTGACACTATGTAGATTCCCAGATAGCTTAACTATGAAGAGATGAAATTCTTTCTGGTCCTCAAAAATCAGAGGTGAGAGTGCAGCATTTCAGCACACAGAATCCACAGTGAAGCCTGTTATTAGTTAGGATTGGCCTGAAGATGGAGGCAGAGAAAATTAGTTTTGAAAACAAAGATTTATGCCTTTCCAAAACCAACTCCATACCTTTCTTGTGCTTCTATGAGTAGCTTGTTTTTTCATTTATAAGCCCATTTACCTCAGAAGGCAAATTAGTACATCAACCCCAGGTGGCAAACATTGTTTACGTAGGTGAAGAGCTTACAAGCATATGGGAATATCTGAATAGTTTGGAACAAACATCCAATTAACGCCAAGGCAGTTCTCTTCATGCTCTCCACCTGTTGCAGCTTAGGGATAAATGTATGTACCAGGGCTGTTCTTGAGAAATCCAGAGAAGATGACTGCACAAGCACGGTTCCCAATAGCGACTTGTGTTTTAGAAGGAAGGCTCCAGTTGCTGGAGCTCACAGTGGGGATGCGCAGGCTGTATCTCTGCCTGGGGTCTCATGCTGCAGGGCTATCTCATTTCTGGGGCTCCCATTGAAAGCTTGGCTGGGGACAACATGGGCTGGGTTAAACTGAGGACTTCCAATGGTCTCTCCAAACCTGGCACCTCCAAAGTATAGTTTTTAATAAGCTGGTGATTTTTTTTCCTAATGATGTGCATTGATTACACAGATTTTGATTTCTGAGTCCATGAAGAGGGAAAAAAAAATCCCATTGTTCTCACAAGCAAGCTTGGGCTCATTAGATGTTTCAAATAGCTCTAGTGTAACATGCTGAACAAATTTAGATTTGTTCTCAAGATGCTGGAGAATAACAAATTCTCCCATCCTAACATTCCCCTACCAATACTGGAAACCTGATTTCATACCCCATCAGAGGTCAGGAACAAAAATAAGTCAAGTGACCAACTCCACAAACTATAGATCCCAACACTTCTACCTCATCACATTAAAAAAAAAAATCAACATGAATGATGAGAGAAAAGCTACCTGCAAGAATGTGCTTAAGTTGAGGATCAGTGGTGCTACATAAGTAGGAAACAAGGATAGCAAGGAAAGCAGCAGGATCAGACTTAAGTACGCTAACAGAGTCAGTGGAAGCCTGCACAAACCCTGCTGTAATCTACCCTGAGGTCCCATCCTTGCCTGCACGTGTATAGTGACCTGGAATTCCCCGGCCCAGGAGACACAACTTACCTCATGGTGTACAGGAGGGTGCCATTGTCCACCAGGCGCAGCAGCTTGTTGGGTGTTGTCATGTTATGGGCGACAGATTTCTTCCCGTTGTGGAAGAAGGTATCAGGAGTCCAGATCTTACTGGCCAGCAGGTTGTTCAGGGGAAGTATTTTCATGGGACCATCAAACTTCAGCCTTTCATCTCTCCAGGACTGCCGGAAAAAGACATCAATAGTGTATTCCTTTGTGGAGAAAGGAGAGAAAAATAAGTCTTGTTTTACTCAGTTCTACATTGCAAACAAGATGCTTCAAGAAATGGTAAATATCTTTGGTCATTGAGCATACTGTGTTTTGGCACACCTTGACTGGCATGAAGTGTGATGCAACAAGAAGTAGGGATTAACGGCAGTGGAGAAATCTATGGACAATAGAGGCATTTACCACATTTTGTATAATGACTTACATATGTTGCCAAAATTTGTGTTTCTGTGTTTCTGACCACTGCAGACAAGCTGCAATACAGCATACGGTGGCCAGTGACCAGTCCTGGGGTAGCCCTGCTGCACTACCACCTTTATCCAGTTTCAGGGGAGGGAATCATTGTGTGCAGCTACATGGGAATTTAAAAAGGCAAAAATAAAGTTCCTGGAGACGGAATTTGGCCAGGATACTGGTAATTATACCCCGAGTCATAAAAAAATAAAGAAATAAAGTTCTATGACATTGTCTTAATGTTATTTTTTTCCACAGGCCACTTTTCTAAAAGCATTGAATCAAAGACCTCACAAACTTGCATTACAAGATCCTATAACTTTCTTTTCTTTTTATTCTTCCTCCTTTTTCCTATTTTTCCCTTTGTTTCTTTTCTTTTTTCTTTTTTTTTTTTCTTTCAGCTAGTGTAGAAATCCATTTCCTAGGCCAAATTTTAGTTGGGGCAATTAGAAGTCATCTCTTTGAACACCTGCAGCCAGGGCCAGCTCCTCACTCGGTGTGTGCAGCCTCAGAAACCACTTGACCAAGCAGCAAAGGCCACCCCAAGGCAAAATTAAATCAATCTGCCCGGTGTCTGGCATAAGGGACTGCTGTTCCCTGTGACCTGAGCCACCCTGTGTCCTCTGAGGGTCCATGCCACTTGAGGGAAAATCTTCAGCCCGTCAGCATGAGCTGCACCACCGCTCACCTCTACAATACTCACCTCGTGCTAACGAAGGATCTCATTAGCTCACGAGGCTTTCAGAGAGAGACAAGGACTTTGGAAAATCTGTCTGTCCCAGCTGTTCTTCCCCTGCCGTTGCAGACTCATAATCTTTATATACAGGTTCCTGGAGGCTGCAGGACCAACTAAACTTATTATTGTGAGTGATTTCTTTCCTGCAGCTCTTCTCAGCAGCATTTAAAGCTGCTGCGCGTCAGTTTCCTATAGGTCATAGAAATTCCTACAGGTTTTGCACCAGATGGCGGCTGAATGAAAGCATCTTGGTAAAGAAATTCATCCCTACTCCCTGGCCAGAGAGCCACTCCTGCTCAAATATGAAGTTTCTGGAGCCTGGCTGGGGGAAGGAAAATGAAGATCCTACATTCCCACAGGCTCTGCCCTGTACAAGATATTCTGCCCCTTCATGGAAGTCATCTTCACTTTGTGATTTTAAGCTCAGTAAAGGGATAAAACCAAAGGAATGAGCCTGTGTGGAGTTCCAGGAGCTAGGTTTGGGAAAAGTCCTTATCAGAAGAAGAGCTATCTTATTCAGAATTCCCTGTTCCTATTAAAAAAACAAAGAAAGAAGCAAAACTTTTATAACAACTTCCCAGGCCATGTTTTCCTTCTTTTACACTAAGGAATCATTCCTGAATAAAAGAGAAATCACGTTCAGATTCTTCCCCTCTTTTCTGTACTTCTTTCCATGAGACCATCATTTCCAAGTCACCCCTTCCAAGGAACACACTTAGTTCTACCTTATGTCCTTCTCTGCCTTATAGAAGTGACTGAAAACAACGAGACTGAGTCTGTCTCCAGAGTCCATCCACCAAAGCATGAAGCTCCCTTGAAGTTTTGGGTTTTTTCCCAATTTACTGGGGACTGAGGCAAAGCTGCAAGAGCTCACTACCAAAGACTCAGGTGTATGTCAGGTCCTATCAGGCTCTACTTTCCAAACCAAACTGAAAGACAGATTAGAAGTCCCTTGGAGCATCTCAGGGAAAAGGTCTACACATCCTCCTCCACACTTTGTAACCAGCTGCTCTCTTCCACTTTCCACAGCAGCTTTACCTACCTCTCTTCCATCATCATAATTACAGTTTCTGTCTGCATCAAGATGCGCAAGAGCGGCTTTCCATTGCAATGAGTAATGCCTGTGGGAGGGATGGGAGCAAGATCATCAGGCAGATGTGAGTGGGGAAGGAGGGACTTGCTCACTCCCGAGATGAAAGGAACCACCACAGAGGAGCAGGCTCTCCCCACACTTCCCAAGGAGATGAGGTTTCTCTCTCTCACATTTCTGTGTGCGTTTAGCGCCAGAACGGCACACTAAAACACATTCGCTATGCATTTGTAAAATACATGGAACTAAAGCACGTGAAGGGGAAAGAATTTATTATTCTTTAACTGTCTTCCTAATTTTAAATTCATTTTGTCAAATCACATTGCAGAGAATACCTTCCTCTTTTCAATACCTCATATTTCTTCTTCACAGTTCATTATACACACTCCCTTAATCAAATATGCTCCACCTTCGAAGTAATTATCAGATACTCCCCAAGGGCTAAGATTGCTGAATATATTATGGGTCTCCGCTGCGGTAGGAAAGCAAGCGAGATAGAGAGAGAACTCAGATGAGATTAATGCTCTTGGTTACGCTGACATCAAGTTAACTTCTAACCCTGGAGGGAGTGGTCTTTCCAAATCAACATGGGGTCGTGTGATGGGGCTAGTAGCTCAATGAAATACGCAGAATTTATTCTCCCTCAACTCCTCTGCTTGCTAGCACAGGACTGTCCGTGGGGCAGCTGAAGAGATGTTCATAGCCGTGTCAGCACAGAAAATGAAACTCTCCCAGCTCTGGAGGTGCAGCAAGAGCCGCAGGACATGGCTCCTTCCTGACCCAGCTAGTGAGAGCAATGCCTGCTCCCTCTCCTGAGGTGGGCTCTCTCCAAGGCCAGGACTGCCCACCACTGGCCTGGGCTATGCCAGCACCAGGTCACCTCTGGGAATGGATGCCCAGGAGGGTCTAAGTCCTGAATGCATGACTGTCCTCACGTGGCACTCCTGAAATGTTGAGCAACCATCAACGGCCAACTCTCCTCTGTTGCGCCTGGGTGTGTGTGGAATACAAGCTGTAAGAAACGCTGTTGGAAAGTTCACTATTAATTATGCTCCACAGTCCTGTTTTAATTAGAAGACAAACTGTTGTGGGAATACAAGCCTAAATTCAGACCTCAGGCCTTTTCATTAATAATTTTCCCTGAACATGTCAAAATATTGCAATCAGTTCACTCTTTTTGGTTTTTTTTTCTTTTTTGCCTCCCTTCTTGTTCAAGCAGTAAGGACAGTTTGACAGTGAACTGTTCTCTTCTGGCACTACCACCAGAACAGGCCAGATTCTGGGCATCCTCCCCTCTTCCCAGGGAGCGCCCTCCTTCCTCCACACACAGTCAGGTCAAGGAAAACTGGCTACCGTAAAGGTGTTTGTCAAGGCATGTAATGGGTGGAGCACGCTACATACATGGTAGGTCTTGGTCCTGTGGGCAGATCTCCTCATTTCATTAGGTTGCACTTGCAGGGAAAAGAAGACCCTAAAGCCTGCAGTGTGCTTGAGCGGTGCAAAGGCATCGACCCTCCAAGGCTGCATTATCATTCTAAAAGCCCATATGCACATGAGAAACAACCCCTGTCTACCACCCGTGCTGAGATCTCCTTGGCCTGCGAGAAGATGATGAGGCACGCTCACGCCTGGGCAGGCAGCTGAGATGCTTGCTTGTGTTCTTGTCATTTAGGAAAATCCCACTTTTGCCCAGATTGTCTGGGGATGAGGGTGGGACATGTCCACTGTGGCTGCAGGAGAAGCCACCCCTCCCCGTGAGGCAACGAGGCAGTGGCACCTACCATATCTGTGTCCGAGACAGGGCCGAAACTGGTCACGTAAATGTCTGTCTTGACTTCAGTTACGCTGTCTAGGACAAAAAAAAAAAAAAAAAAAAGGAAAAAACAGTTAGAAAACTGGATTTGCTTGTACAGGGAAGCGTTTGGGTTTTGTTATGTGGTGGTTTTTCCCACCCGGCACCTCCCTGGCGAGCCCTCGGCAAGCTGGCATCGCGCACACTGCTGTGCCCTGAACAATGGCTACTTGTAGTTGGGCAAATTCATCTCTGATGTAGCTCTGCTGCTTCCCACATTTATACCGAGGATGAATATGTCCTGCACAGCTAGACAATACTTATTTACAAAATGTATGCAGCTACATGATACAAAACGTGGTACAGATCCACACGTTTTCAATACAGAGGTAAGCCCTGATGCTTTGAAACTCCTTTTAATCTGAAATCCCTTTGTGTCTCCCAGCCTGATAAACAACCTAGCAACGTTCCACTAGTTTTAGGAAACCCTGGGTTTGTTACAGCTTCAGGCTTATCTGTATGTAAAAAGAATCAGTATTCTGATTGCCTTTTACTGCCATCATGCCTGCTGTTCTCCTAAGTGCCTCGCTCTTGTCAAGTGGCGGCTCTTGCAAAGCTGCTGCTTGCCTGCTTCACATGCTTCCCTGCATCCCAGGTTGTGCTGCCCTCGTGGATGCTGAACAGCAACCTTACTGCCCCAGTAAAACCATGGAGCCCCAGTTCCTGCCCTGAGCCCTAAAACCCAGGGGCAATCTTAATCGCATGCCTCCAGGTAAACTGAAGTGCTTTGCAGAACACAGCCACCAGCATATGTGCCAAACAGCACATAGAGCTCTCATTCTTGTCTTCATTACGGCTTTGGCATGTTTCCTAATGAAATCTCTATACTGCTGTCCCATTTTGCAGGGAAATCAAGGCACAGTGATTTGCCAGATTCATGGTCCTAGACTCTGTCCACTTGGTTGTAGTGAAAAAAATATGGATGAGGTGCCTTGAGTTTAGCACTATGTTACCATAAATCCTCACCACTTTAAGGATAGATCATGCCATTGTGCTCCTTTTGTATGGCATTAGCTGGCTCAGAGCTGCTTTCCCAATGAAAGAACGCAATTTAGAGCCCCAAAGAAGAGTTCATGTTTTATGCACAGTACCCCGTTTTGGTCACTGCAGCAGCTTTGCAAGTAGCCTGGATGGTCCATTGCTCAATTCAGTTATGGAAATCCTTCTGTCCCCTGACAGTTATTTTGCAGTACTATGAAGCTTAGTTTTGTGTTTCAAAGTTTTGTATCCAAAAATAAGATAATGCATTCTGGCAGGGTTTTCTCCTTAATGGCTAAAATATATGTATACGTGTCTTTTGATATTATGACTGGAAAGCTTCTGACGCAGCCTGTGGCTGATATTATTGTGCTATATAAGTAACCCTTGATCTCATCTCGATGCAATAAAAAGAAGGTTAAAGAGGAATATGTTTGCAGTACACTTTCTGAAACACCCAGAAGCCAACAAGACATCATCCTGAACAAAATTAGTTACTTCTGTAAGACTTAAATGCTGTGGGTATTCTCTCCGTCTCCCTCCAAACAAGTCCTCAAATGAGATTCACAGCAGAGAAGAACATTTAATGAAGCGAGGCTCTTCCCACTAACATATGTGGCAAGAGAAAGCTAATTATGTTTTAGAGAAAACACAAACTCCCTCCCCCTAAAAAAAAACCCGGGATAATAATTTACAGCCATGGTTATCGGATCAGGATGCATGGCTGCCCATGGCCAGTGAAGCCAGCCCTTGTGAGATGCAGAATGAATTGCCCCCTGCACCTGAGGGGGCAGAGGCACAGCAGTCCACGGAAGGACTCATACTTTACCACGTGATCCTCGGGGATCAGGCAGAAGGGAAGGGATTCAGGAAGTGATGAGGAGGTAAAAAGGCAGAGCTGTTTTGGACACCTTTTGATATGATCCTGGTATCTTTACCTGAGCCTTTATGTTCTTATCATGCTGTAACCTGGATGTCACAGAGCTCCAGAGACCCCTTCCCATCCCTTCAATCTACTTGCAAATCCAATCAAAGATAATAGTATTAATAACCACTATTAATTTATTAATATTCATAATTTAATAATATT